AACATTTAGCCACAAAATATTGACATTTATATTTACAATGTTTACATTTATATTTACAGTATTTAATTAGAAGTACTTAGTATAACCAGAGTTATATTACAGGTGACTTCAAACAGAACAAATTACTCCAAGTAGTATAGCAGTTTCTGTTAATAAGATGCAGGCTGTTTCATTTTAACACTCCAGTAACTTATTTTAAAGAAAAAAAAACATTTTAAGTCATTTGAGTGGATCAGAAATTCTGCTAGTTGTTGACTCTCTGTTCCCCTGTTTAACCAGCCATACAAGAGTGATCCAGAATATTTGGCTTTCAAATGAAGGATGTGAAAGTAATACCAAAAACTGTTAAAACTAATCAGAATATTTCAGTTGCCAGACAAATTTCCTAAATGGGAAGTGGGGGTGGGAGAGTGCGGTAGATATGTTCATTATGGAGTAGTTTAGTATCTGTTATTTTGAGCACATATTCAGAGTGCTTAAAAACAACAGAGAAAAGCAATGTTTTACTATCAGTGTGTGTTGCTATCGATGAGTTTGCCACACTCACCTCTCCTATGTGCTGCCTTTGTCTTTGCTTCCCCTCAAGCTAGGGAATTATAAGCCATAATTTAAATTCCAAGCATCAGTAGTAATTTTGGCTAAAAAGAGACACTTTTAAATCTCAGCTTCATGTTGGACCAGAAAGGTACAATTTGATCAGTTTAACTAATTCAGTACTGAAGGATAACCAACTACTGCTCCTGAAAATATGATGAAAACCTGATAATAGGCACTGAGGGTTTCATATTATTGCACAGAATAATATGAAATGGAATGAAGAAAGGAATAGCAAGACTTTGATCCAAACATTTTGACATTCACTTCTGAATACCAACAATATTTAATTTTTTGCCATACCTGACAGTTACTGAGCATCAGCATTTTGTCCTACCCCTGCCATGGTTTATAGCTTGTTGGTTACCCATGTTGGTACAAGACAAGCTATTTTTGATAGCAACAGACAAAATGTTAAAGGACGTGTCACTAATTGGTATTATTAATTTGTTGTTGTCCAAGTATGACACTTGAAAGGCTTTTAAAAGCTAATGCCTGATTCTTTCATTAAAACCCACCTCAGTATAGGCCTCTGCTTTTATTCTGCTAAGTGCATGAAGAGGCCCGTATAAGATGATGGAAAACATAATTTTCATTGTAAGAAGCAGTACTTCCTTTGACTCCATCTATTTATCCCATCTTTTCTACTTTAGTTTAAAAAGTGGTGGGCTTAGGACTTTTTGGTTCGTTTGGTTTTTTTTTGTGGGTTCTTGTTTTACTTATCAATTTACAAAAAAAAATTGTATTTTTTTTCTGTAAGTAAAAGCATCTTTAGAATTTGTTGGTTTACTTGTTGCACTCACTGCCCTCTTATTTTTTTTCTGTGATGAAATTATCTTGTGTTGGCATGAAATTCTGAGGCGAGAAAGGCAGATAACCAATTAGTGCCATTTCTCAGTTAAGAATAATATTCTTAATCAGTTTCAATCTTACAGCTATAAGATATTTAGAAACTACTTACTTCTTTGCCAAGCAGGAGTTAAAGTTAAGAAGCCACAAATTTCTACAAAATTATTCTGGTTTGTACTTAAAAGCAACAGCAACAGACCAAACAAGTAGCAGCTGGATAAGCTAGAGAAACTAAATGTTATTCATTGGATATTGTAAATTTTAAATACTTCTTTTTTTCCTTTGTCTCTTATATATTTTTTTTCATGTAGTTCCTACATTTTCTATAGCTAATTTTGAGACTGGGGAATTGCTCAATTTGTTACCTTGAGTATTTATAGAAATTTCAATAACCATTTGAGTATCAAGCATCTGTGTTTTACACTTAGAGGAAAATTAAAGTGCAGGTTTCCAAGGCAGCAGATGAAACAAGCCAACTTTACCATTGTTCTGACTTTTTCACAATGTCATGTCTTGGATTTCACATCCAGATAGAGATGCTGTGAATAAATTCTATGGGTGAAGAAGCAGAAAATAAGGAGGAAAAGAGGATTTGCTATGTGGATTCATTATAACAATGTGGAACATAGTATCTCACACACACAGGCTTTCCTTACTCCCTACGGGATATCTATCTGTAGGCCTCTATCAATTTCCAGGAGATTTTCTATGTGAAAGGATCCTCCAGTTAATTTCAGTGTATAGCTTGTTTTAGATTTATCTTTCTCTTACGTCTTCTCTCTTCCTTTCCCCTTTTCAAACCTCTGTTTAAAAGGGTGGGGGTAGGGGAATAGATTTAAAAAAAAAAAAAAAAGAAAAAAGAAAGTAAACAATGAAAACAGTGTTACGTGTGTATCCTCACAAGCATTTTATGAAAATACCACTGCTTCATGCTGACTAAAACCACAGCTTACTGTATTCTTCTTGCTCCTTGTGGAAAAGAACAGGGTATCTCTGCAGCCATTATTCTTCATGTATATACAGCACTCTCACTGAGGAGCATGATGTTTCAGGCTATGTCAGAAAAGCAGAAAGGAAATAACAATGAGGGAGTGAATAAGAGAGATGTACTATACTGTCTCAGCAACATGGACTGTACCATATATGTAAGTTTCAATATGTTTTAAAACGTGGAAGCAGGCAAAGAGTGACTTGCCCTGTGAGTTTAAAGGACAGACTTCAGTCTGGTACATGCTGAGAATAATTCCCTCTTTATCTGACTAAAACTCGTGTGAACCAACACATAAATCCACAGGCTATGAAGCGGCTCCTTTCAAATGTGATTTCTAACATAATTTTATTTTCTATTCAGTACAATAATCATACCTGGAAGTGACCTTGGCAAGCTGAGTGAGAAGACAGAAAACCATCAGCGTTGTGCTGTGAGGTCCTATTTCTAGGGTCATTAGGAATGTTATTAGTGTGTTTCAGGGTGCTGTGGCTCTTCCTTCAAAAATGACAAGTGCAATGTTTAATCTACATCTTTATTACCTGAAAGGCACTTTATCCACAATTCATGAGAAATGAGACAACATCAATGTAATACAGGGTAATGCTTTAAATAGTTTTCTAAGTGTCACTGATCTTATCACACCGACCTGGAATAAAACCTGTTGAAATTGCATTGTAAACTGCTAAAATAAACTGCGTGACTGGCCAGGACTGAAACTAAATTGTGTCTTTAAACTCAGTATTTCTCCAGAATCAGTGTAATTTAATTGAAATAGCTCTGCGTGTGTAAACAACTCCTTTGTTTAAAGAAGATTTCACTGTTTAGTTTGCCTTAAGTAAATGCTGCCTTTTGTTTGTAAAACATTTGATTAAATGTGAAGACTTACATAGACAGCTTCCCCTCATTACACTAGTGGCTGGAAAATAAGTTAAAATGATGCAGGTATCTGCTGTCTAAGGAATTACCAAACAATATCATTTGTCTTTAAAAGAAAAACCATGAAAACCTCTTACGTCTAGTCCTAAAATCAAACTACAACTCTCCTAATACCAAGAAGATGGTATTTAAAGTGCTGAAACTGTTCAATATACCAGACTCTCGTTTCTTTCTTAAAAGAATGTTTTGTAGTATTTTAATCAAACTCCACATTTCCTACTTGGCAAACCACTTTTAAATACATGACTTTCTACTAAATTAGAGTGTTGTAAAATTAAGACCCACACATAATTGTTAACATAATGGTATTAAACAAGACAACCACAACAGTGGTATTAAGCAAGACAACTAACATATTAATAGCATAATTTTCTTCACTAGCTGAAATGCTTCTATAAATCATAATAATTGTATTAACATAGGATGAAAAGTATACTATATATTCAAATAAGTGCATTTACTATTAAAACAGAATGTTGAAACTAAAAGCTCATCTTTGTTCCTTTCTCCTTTGGAAGAACTCTTACATTCTTTTTCAGACAAACCAAACAGAATTTAAGTCAAGTCAGGGAAAAAAGCAGGTATAACAGTTTTTTCATGTCAGTAGGGCCACTCACAGTGCACAATCCATAATGAATTTTGCAGATTTGGCTCTTTATGCTAGTGATATTTAGAGTGTCCTTTTTACTTGTATTCTCAAAAGCGTAGCAAGTAGAAAAGGAGCAGAAGCGAGATATGGAAGGCAAGATGATCGTTAACACTTTAAAGTGTGAGATATTGCTGGATAAGGGATTTTTGCTTGCATGGGTTTTTAATGTACTTTGGGAAAGCTTTTCCAGTTCAGGATAGAGAGGAAAGGAGAGACAGCCAAGCATCCATCACTCTCAAGACTGTCAACTGTTTACAATGCAAAGGATGAAATCCATGGTTTTCCTGACTGCTGTTACTCACCCTATGTAGACTATTAGCTATTTTGTCATTTTTCTTCAAGATTTCAAGTTAGGTGTCAGTGTTGAACAAAACCTAAAAAGTGCTCATTAAGCTAAATTTTAGTGGTTTTATCCAGTCTGATGCAAGAAATATTTTTAAGTCCTGAAGTTAAAATGGGAAAAATAACTGCTACTGGTAAGTGACATTAGTATTAATTTTTGAACAAATGCAAATATGTTGCTGTTGTTGTTCTTAAATAATTCAAAGATTTTTGAATAATTTTGCAATTCTGGCAAAGCTCTCCTGTCAAAATATAAACCGATACTGCAGTTAATTTTAACCTCTTCCTTTCCAATAAACTTCGAGATTTATTCCTTTCATTCTGAGTTGGATTATGTAAGAGAGAGATTATTTGTAAGGAAAAGATCCCACTTTCTGCTCTCACCCCAACAGCATGGTGTAAATTACTTTCTGAAGGGTAAAAGTTGATGATGATGACACAGTATTTAGTCCATCTTTTTTCAAGGTTAATCCAAAAGTTGCCAACTGACACCAGTAGAGGTTGAAGTAAATTCCTATGTTGAAGGCCTAGAAATTCCTGTGCATTAAATATTAAATAAATGCTCTTACTTGTATGAACCAGGTACACAATTATCCTTTCATTCTCTTATTTGTATTTTATGTCTTCTTCTTTCGTTAGGCAATGTTGGATGTCGCAGCGCACCATGGCTGGTTGGTGACTGCTCTGAATATAACCAATCTGGTGCAGATGGTGGTTCAGGGTAGATGGATACACAACTCTTCCCTGCTTACTTTGCCCAATATAGAGCTACAACACCTCTACCTTTTTCGGTATGTAATACTTCTAAGCATTCCTAAGTTTGCAGTCTCATTCTACTACTGACTGCTGATTGTGTTTGAATGTCACTGTTGTGCCTGAGAATGTTCGTTAATGCACCAGAAGCAGAACTTGTTCTTTCATGGTGGTGCTTTCCCAAATGGAGTTTCTATTTCTCTTTTCAATATTCATTGATTAATTAACCCCCACAGATTATTTTGAGAATCATGATTCCAGACAAATCAACAAGAGATCACTGGAAGGGTTCCAAGTATGAATAAATCTAACCCTGTATATTAATTATCTCTTTATTTTAATCCACTAAAAATATATTAGTATCCATCCTAGTATCAGAGGTAATGCTAAGCTCTATAGATGCCTAGATGGTGCAGTAATTAATGCTACTGAAAAATAAATGACCAGCATTTAATAACAGAAACTAGTATCAATTTTTACCACCAAAACAACTGAAAACAAATGTTTGCATTCCCTCCCTGGGCATATGTTCTGCTGTCTCCATCAGGAAGTGGAGCCAAGGCAAAAGGAAGAGCGTGCGTGGAGGTTACCAAGGACCTATTGAGTGTCTTCCTGAACTAATGGCTGCCTGTGAAGGAAAAGAGCATGTTTTTGCTTCCATTGTGGATGGTGAATTGCAAACAGCCCACATTTCACAGGTAATACTCTCTATCTGTGGTCATTATCAATGTGACTGGAAAGGAAGAGTAGTTGGGAAAAGAAATACTCTCCCCTTCAGCAAATATCATAGGACGTTCCATATAAAGTGCAGCACATTTGTTGCTTTAATTTCAAGGTACTGGCTAGCTTTACAAAGGTTCTTCTCTGTCTGTTTTCTTAATATTATTCTCACTTCTTTCCTGCTAACCAGTAACAGAGCCTGGTTTATGGCTGATAGTACCACATCTCTTTGCTCTAAGGATGCTTCTCTAGGTCATTCAATCTGCTGAATGTTATCCATCTTTCCATAGTCAGGTGTGTACTAGGAATACATGCATTGCAAATGCCACCATAGCTTTTTTCTGAAGTGGTCTGTCAAACACTGTTTTTTCCCAAGAACACCCTTAGTAGAAGATCCAGCACTCATTTTCTGCTTGAAAGAGAAAAAAGGAGATGAAAATTTCACACTTCACAGAGGGAAGAAAAAAATACTATTCCAAAATGTTGAGGCTGCTAGAGTCTCATTTTCAGTTTGATTTTAAAGTCGTTCCCAGGAAAGGACAGCAATAGTCCATAGACAGTTAATCCCATTGATTTAAAATAAATGTACGAAAGATGAAAACTTAAAAAGCTATACTTCAAATGGTTTTTATTTGTATATTTTAAAGGACAGCAATATGTCCAGTGTTTGTTCAGCTTCAGTTAAACCTTTCAGTGGTATGCAAACAAGAAGAAAAGTACTTAAATGTCTATAACAGACATCTGCATTTGTAACTAAATTAACATCAAAATTTTGAATTAAGAAAATGTATTGACATCAAAAAAAGGCTTCCTTTAACAACAGATTTTTAACATAATACAAATTGGTTGCAGTCCAACTTTTGGATGTGATAAAAAATTAGAACATTGTTATAATTAGTTCAGGGAGAACTCAGAAGTAAACTTACTTAATTTATTTGCATAAATTGCCATTCCGTTATCTTTAAAAGCAAATGCAAATTGGCTCTGTCTGATATGATGATGGTTATTTGGCTCAAAAGTGCTTCAATTTGCGTAGCAATCTGCTGTCGTCTCTGCAGTGAGGCGATCCCAGGTAACATACAAATCCTGAATTATTCCAGAAATTAGTATGTTTAAAGCATCAATTTAAGTGCTAATTGCAGTAGTAATGAGAAAAAGCAGTACTACTGTGAGATTTGCATCTACTGCCCCATCAGTATGCCTGGAACGGCTGCTGACTGGCAGAGGATTTGGCTGCTAATTAAATAATTGTATGCATGGCAGTGTTCTCGTCTGATTCAATAGATGAAGATTAATCCTCAGATAAATATGTTTGGCTGGTATTGAAATGTCTTAGCAGTTTCTTCAAAAATAGCTTGTGTGTATGTGATGTATATGTTCACACTGTGAATGACTCTATGCCTCTATATATCTGTGTTTGTAAATACAGATGCATATAAGAGGGGAAAACATAATATCTTAGCAGCATAGAAGGAGAAAGTTTCATTTCCATGAGTTGGGAATGGCCATATTGGGTATAGCAAAGCCATGACTGTATTATGCGGGTCATAGCAAATGTGAAACCTTTATACCAGTGTTTTATATTCTTTAAGGTTTGGGGGGGGTGGGGACAGGTTAGAAGAAAGAAAGAATAAAATAAAAAAAAATATTGTAATACTTTGCACAGAATTAAACTTCATACTGAGTTTTTCTGTTGAGTGTTTTCCTACATAAAGGCTTTCAATGAGCACATAGACAGGGGCCAACAAAGGGAAAAAATTATTCAGTAAAGAATGCATCTTTATTATATATATATTTTTTCTGTAAAGAAATAATATAAGATTACGGAATTTAAGCCTAGTGTTCTGACACCAGACATGAAAAAAGTCAAATAAAGTGGTAAGCATACACTACTAAATTGCCAAAACCATTCTTTTCCTAACGAAAGTTCTGCTTCTTACAGTGTATAGAACCTATACCTTAAGCCTGTTACCAGCATGAAACTGGAAAAAAAAAACAGCTTGAGCTTTACATATAAATTTGAGGCAGACAGAAAAAGGAAGAAATTTTACATTGGGAAAGAAGAAAATGTCTTTTAAGCAGATTGATAATTTTTAAATAGCAGCTCTTGAAGCTGCTCATGGACTTGGAATATTAGTCTAAATCCTGGGGAGATAGATTATTGGCAAAAATGCTAATGACATTACTAAAAGTTCATGAAGAACTTCTCATGTGATTATGATTTTTATCTATGGGTTTGGTAGGTAAATATATATGTAGTATAAATGTACATGCACACATTGGGCATGTTGATATATGTAAAAGGAGATAGTGTATGCTTGTGTCATCCTATACAAAAAAAAAAATAAATAAATACAGTAAAATTGTCGAGAAATTACTAAGTAATGTTGGAGCCTGAGTTTAATTTTCCAAAAGTTAGCTAACATCCTAAACCTCATTGGAAGTCAGCAGGGCTTTAAAGCTGACAGCCTAAATTCAAAAACTATTTAGACTGTGAGTCTGATTTTTGGCCTAAACTCCGTGTTTGTTTCAGTGATTCATTCTGACTCATATTTCTTTAACAAATCTCAGTTTCCAAGTCACTTAGGCATTAGGCACTAGGCACCTCGTAAAATACTAAGCTGGTGCTTATATTATTGAAAGAGAAAAAAGAAACCTCAGGACTGAATAAAATTATATATTATCCATGCTCTAGTATCAGCTGCTTTTACTCTGGAAGTACCTGTGTTCCTATAACCTTCTTTTTCATTTTCAGCTGCTACTACTTGACTTTCTTCCTCAATAAAAATATCATCACTATGAATGATGACAAAAAGGCAGCCTGACATCCATACTGTAGCAATGATCAAGCAGTACTAACTTTGCCTTTAATTTTCAAATACACAAGGCCTGGAGAATCACAGAATTGGTGAGGTTGGAAAAGACCTTCAAGATAATCAAGTCCAACTGTTAATGACCAATTCAAATATTACAACTACCTTTTGTCCATTTAGAAAGTCACTCAGACTTGCTTTGTTTGCCCTGTAAAAGCTACATGAGAACATGACAACCTTTGACAAATTGGGGGTTGATACAATTGGGGTTGTATGGTATAAACCAGACCAAGCCATAGTCTTCAACAGAGAGACAGGTGACACCACCAAAGGATTGAATACATTATGACATCTGCTGAAACTAAACTTTATTCTACCATAATTGTAACAGGCCTTGTCCTCTGAGGTAGTGCACATAACAGGTTTTCAGGTAGATGATATCTAAAGTGTTACTGAAGGTACGATCATTGAGTTGGCATGTATTAAGGTGCCTCCACTGAACACAGCAGAAGGACACTGCTTTGGTGCATGGAGAGCCTCAAGCAGCAGGTCTGTACAGTTCCTCAAGTCAGCTTCATCTTTAAAACCTTTACATCAAGCATAAAATCATTTGCCAGTTAAGGTGTTACTGCTCAAGTTGTTTCATCCAGTGTGATGTGCTGGAGGTGATTTCAGTAGCATCTTCTGCGTTAAATGTAACAAAATCCTGGCAACAACTAATTAATTAAGAATGCCTGCAGTGTTTTTTCTTCTTTTTCTTCTTCAAGGTGCTGCCTTTTTTAACCCTGTTCAGAGCTGGAACAAAGAGGAGTATCTTTTCCCTTAACGTTCTAGCTGTTTATTTTCTGTTACAGTTTTCCCATCCTTTCTGCATTAAGAGCATCAGTACAATTCATTCCTCGATATCCCTTGCTTTACACTGCAGCTCCTGGGTGCTCACAGGTGGCCCTCCCCACTTTCACCATTGAACAGACACAGCTGCTCATGCAGCACAGAAGTCAGAAGAGAGAGAGAGATTAAGGTTTACCCTAAATCAGATTTCTCATTTATTTCAGCCAGGCTCTGGTAACGTTTAATCCAACGTAAGTCTGTGCTGCAGCTGAAATGGGCAGTCCTGCCCCCCCCTTGTGCCATTTTCACCTCTCCTGACCCGGCTCATTGCAGAGCTGCACAAATGCCGTGGCTGATTCAGGCGAGGAGGTAGGAACAAGCATCAGGGGATGAGAAGGGGAGGGGTCGTGTCAGCCCTCTCTCCGACAGTCAAAATGGCCTATAGCCAATTGGTGACGCGATGCTTGTGCCAGCAGGGAGGGAGGCTGGACCACTTCTTTCAGTGGCACTGAAAGTCCATGCTTATTCAGAGTACTCACAGGATTAGCGAATATGCTTCCACAGTCAGCTTTAAACTGGCCTAAAATCATGCTGTCTGTTGTCACCAGAATGGTTAGCAAGCTGATCCATCTAGCTGCACAATCACAGCATGGCAGTACCAAGGTATCAGGGGTGAGAGGCGAACAGCTAGCTGGTGGGGAGGGTGTCATAAAGAGGGATGGCAGCAGATAGTCAAACCAATACATGAAAAATAAAATATACTTTAGTCCTTTTCCAGATAAAATATTTCTGTTCTATGCAGTATTGCCCATGCAGCTATGCTGACTCTCCTCCTTCCCACAAGTTCCCATTTTGGTATCTGCTGGCTCTACTAGGATCAATATTCTTCTTTCCTTCTTCTCTTTCCCACCCTCTAGCTTTTCATGTGTTGTTTGAAAACACAAATGAAGTGCTGGTTCCTATTTTGTTTTGGGGGTGGAGGGGAAGGAGGGCAGGGCAGAGGGTGGTTCTCATTCTTTTAGGTTTTTTTTTCTTCCATTGCCAGTCTCATCAGTCTTTTTCAGGCCACAAATCACTGCCTTCATTCCACAATGGATTTTTCCGTTTCTTCTTCCTACAGATTTCATTGAGGGAATATGATGATTTTCTTTTTAGCAAATGCAAGCTGTGTTACTTCCTTCCATTTTTGTCACAGCTTCTTAGAGCTGCTTTTCCTTGTCTGATGGAGACCAAAATGAGAGATCCATAGGGCTGCTTTTTCAGGGTGCCTCTTTAAGACTGAGGAGAGTGTCATGTTCAGCTACACATATTGTAAGCCTTTAACAACAGTTCTCTGTACAAGGATGAGAGAAAATTGAGGGGCTGTTGCAGTTCACAGAGAACTAAGGCTCCTCAGGAGGACTGTAAGAAGGAAAGTTTGTGAAGAGCAATGCAAGAAAACCTTAAAAAAAAAAAAAAGTTAGGTATAACTTTTGGATATGTGGTTGAACTTTTGGTTAATTATCTGAACTGATCCCCTGAACTCTCTGAGGTTTGCCCATTGCTAATTAGCACTGCAGTGACTTGTTCTGTATGGATTATGTTATGAAAGTTTAATTTAAAACTTAATTATACTAGTTTTTAAGTGGCTTATAGGGAAAAAATTGCTTTAATCGGGAGTGGTAAGGATTTTTTCCTGTGTTCAGACGTCAGTAATACTAGTGGGGCATGTGTAATGTGCTTGAGGAGTTTCACGTTTGCTTTATTTGCTTGGATTAAAGTAGAATAAGAGGTTAATAAAAAGTATTTTAAGCCTGTGACTGAGAGTTGTACAATTCTGTATGATAGTCTAATATAGAGAATCAGAATAGTTTGGGTCAGCAGGGACCTTCAAAGGTCATCTAGTCCAACACCCCTGCAAATGAGCAGGGACATCTTCAAGTAGATCATAATAAAATATTATTAATGTAGAATAAATACATAGACTGCACATTGAATTGTTATTGTTACAGTGACAATGATTGTCTAGATTGTCTTGTAATCCCTCGAGATCTGTTTTTTCTACAGGCTTGGAATTTCCTGTGCCGTTTGCCAATTCTAAACGTCAGCCTGAGCATTAAGGGCTGCTGGGATGACCCAGCTCAACCACAGAACGAAGTGCCTGTTCCTTCTTTGACAACAGACACAAGAGATGACAAAAGATGGATCAAATTGCATGCTGATCAAGAGTATGTGCTCCAAATAAATCTGCAGAGAACCCAGATGGGGTATCAGGTACATGAATTTATCATTTCCTTCCCAAAAGCACAAGTCTCCAATAACCCATTTATGTTATCAATAATGCTTTATACGGCATAACAGGGAGGTTTAAGGTTTAAATCTTATGTAAATTATGAACACTTTCAAAGCGTTTTCTGGGTTAGCAATGAAGCAAGTGGTTTTTCAGGTTGCAATAGGATAGGAAATAGACCCTTAAGGTAAAATCCTAGGCCAATTCAAGCCAAAGAAAAAACTCATTATTTTTTACAAACCAGAAACTCATAATTTCTTTGGGTAATTTCTGTAAGCAGTGACAGTAGAGATGATAACTTCACAGGCAGTATTTTAGTACTCGCCAGCCCCTCTCCCCCTCATACGCTTGCATATCCTGCTTCCCCAAGCCAGTGTATAAGCTTCCCTATTACATCCCCATGTACTTCCAAATTGCATACCAGGCCCTGTCTGTAAACATGTTCCTACTCGTAACACATCCTCAGGCCTTTACTGAGGATATTTTCTTCATATTTTACACATGAAGCTTTTTTGAACAGCTCCTACAACAACTTCGACATGCAATTCTTCTCCTGGCCTAAGCTGAAGCACATCCCACTTCCTCTGTGGCTGGTCACCTCACTGGGCCCAGCATGTGCCCAGCCAGAAGCATCAGCGGCAGGTTCCCAGCTGCTCTGCCCCTCACAGCAGTAACTCCCTGTACCCATTATGACCATGCTTCCTCCCTTCAACTTGGGCACTGCCATCACTGTAGCTATCACTGACTCATAGACTTACAGGTTTTATTCACATACCGTGAGTGGTATGGACCACGATGATTATAATATTGCTAATTAATTTTTCTAATATTTCAAACAACTAAGAATGATAATTACCAGCATTTTTAAGGTGCAAAGAAGAGTTCAAGATACAGGCAGAGAACAGTTTTGATGTTAGTTGTGAGACTCTTACAATAACTTCATTTTGGTAAAAATAGTAACAGAGATATGTTCGGTTGTAAATCCTGGAGTTAATTTACATTAGTTAAATAATTATATTTTAAAGTACTCTTCTTCCCAAAAGATGACTTGTCCTGACTGCAGCAGGTTCACCATAGCTTTGAGGGAAGACTTTATCATTTGTAGGAAGAAAAGGTATCAAAGCTCCTCCATAAGTCATTCCATTTGCTGTGCAAGTTAGTGACAGAGACTCTTCCTAACCAGAAGCCACAGAAAAGAAGGAAGCAGGAGCATTTCACGAGTCATCACTGTTTTATAAACCTCTCCTGGAATTTGATCCCTCTTTTGTAAAAAACAGCTGGATCAAACTGTTTCTTTTTCTTTTCTTTTCCATTGCTTCTGTGATGCTTTTTCTTCTGTATAAATCTTCAGTAAAACCTTTTCATCTACAGAACACCAAATGAATACTGATAGAGTGTGCATTATTACATCTTCAGCTTGCAGAAGTAAAGTCACTGTCTTAAAGAATCACTGAGATAATCTTTCATTTTGCTATATCAACCTCAAATAAAGACTCCAAGTGCTGGTTTTGTATTTATATTAATCTTGAACAATACTGTTTAGCTTTATTTAAAGACACTAACATTTACAATTAACCCTTCTGCAGAGAATAGTATTTGGAATATATTAGATAAAACTACAAAAAGGGAGCAGTATTTCCATTCAAGTTTTAACAGCTTACAAAATAAGTGGAATAGTATCTCGATTCTGTTTTTTTCTCTGGACTGTGATTTTATTTTATCTATTTATTTATTTTTAAATAATAAAAAAAAAAAAATGGAAATAAATATCTTAGTCTGCCTAAATTAGAGTCTTACATAACAATTCACGGCCATGTGGCTTTGAGGTATTTTTATTCAAAGAATGGCATTGTGGGATGGTGATTTCTGCTTCTACTAAGTTATTTCTTTTCCCCAACAGGGAAAGCAGGACAGTAAAGCAGTGGCTCCTCGATTCCCCAAAGTTAAAGATGAAGGATGGTTTTTGATATTAGGAGAAGTCGATAAAAAAGAACTTATTGCCCTGAAAAGAACTGGATATGTCAGAAATCGAAATACTGTTTCTGTTGCTTTTTATACACCAGAAACCCCTGGAAAGTATGACAAATTTACCAAATAAGTTTCCTTACTTACTATCTTTTCCAACTAGACAAGACCTAATTTCTAAACTAATGATTCTGCTTTTATATTTTAGGTGTATCTACACATTGTATCTCATGAGTGACAGTTACCTGGGCATGGACCAACAGTATGATATTTACCTGAACATTATACCAGCTAGTACATCAGCACAAGTCACTGCAGAGGTGTCTGATACTCTGAGTCACCTGGCTCTGGAGTAAGGTGATCTGAAAGGCCCATCCAAAAGGACTGGTCTTCCAGTCAGACATCCGGTCATTCTGGACACGCAAAAATGTGTTTGCCTTAGTGGAACCAACTTCAAACCTCAAGACAACTAGGAAATTCAAATTGACTACTGTATTGACTCTGGTAGCACAGAGTTAGCCACAGTGGCCTTATTCCTTTATGAAGAGTTGTCTTTTCTTGTTTCATCTTTCTCCTCTCAGAAATCATATTGTTGATTCAATTTTGACACATCAAAATAAAAGACTAAAAGATATTGTAATTTGTGCAAATTTAGGGCTAAAATCTTCATTTTGAGAAGTGTCCTGTAGCCTATGTACTGATGTAGCTTAAGTAGACAGGTTTTTTAATCTGTAGGGAAAAAGACAAAATTTGATCTAAGAACTGCTGAAAACAGACAGATGTGTTATATTTCATGTTTAATAAAAATATGTCCATAAGAATGTTTTGCATTAGATTTTTCAGTGAAAAGCATGAGATTATATAGTAACAAAATCCTCCTCTTACACATACTACATTTTGAAGGTGATAATCTAAACAAAGAATTTCATAAAATTATAGGTTCAGTAAATCTGGTTCTAAAGGCATCCTAAATAGTATAACATATTTCTCGTATAGCAATAATGCAATTTATATGGATCATAATTAAAGTTCACCTTTTACAGGCATGTACACAACATAATATATATACACACATCATACATGTATATTACGTGTTTGCAACTTATGTAGTGTTTTTCCCTGAATTTTGGATGACTAAGGCATACAACATTGGGTGTATTGTTCTAGGGTTCAGTCCTAACATGGGCAACTACATTCTTTAAATAAGGGAGAGTGACACTCCAGAAATGGGGTTTACGTTACATCACTGAGACAGCTTGATGAGCACAGAAGAGTTCTGCCAGGCGATAGGCAGTTGTCCAAGAGATGTGCAGCTTGATGTGATAGTACTATGAGAGCACCTCCATCTGCAAGACCCAAATCTGAAGGAAGAAAGTAGCAGCATCTATCTTCTGCACAACACAGCAATAATCATGCTGATCTACACATCCTGCAGTCAGTCCTTGTCTCAGCCTTAAGGAAATTCAAGATGCCAAGCAAGTACTTGGAGGCAGTGTACTACAAAAGCATCATGTATCTTCATTCATACAGACTAGACCTTAAACTGAATATTAATATTTTAACTTGTTCAGTTTTACCTTTAGCTGATAAGCATTACACCAGATGAAAGAATACAGCTCATTGCCTCTGGTCCTGCCACCAGACATCACTGAGAAGAGCCTGGCTTTGTCCTTGTTGACGTCTTCCCTTCAGATATTTATACACATTGATGAGATTCCCCCTGAGCTTTCACTTCTCCAGGCTGAACAGTAACAGCTCTCTCAGCCTTTCCTCATGCAAGACATGCTCCAGTTCCCTCATCATCTTCTTTGTGGCTCTTTGCTGGGTTTTCCAGTGTGTCTGTGTCTCTCTTGTACTGGGGAGCCCCAAACCAGACACAGTGCTCCAGATGCGGCCTCACCAGCACTGATCACCTCCTGTGCCCTGCTAGCAATGCAACACTGCAGCAAAGAGAAGGCTGGCTGATTTCAAAGGGTCAGTAGTTAAACATTCATTTCTTTCACATGTATCTGGCACCTCTAAATTGTGAGAAGAGTTTTTGAAATAATCAGTTCTGTAGTTGAGTGTTTTCAGAGATCTTCACATCACTCAAAGATGTTAAAAAATATATATATTTCATTACTATAGGTTGACTTTATTGCCTGTAAATATATGCAATAATAGAAAAAGTTGTCCCTATATTTGCAGCCTGCTAGACACTACCACTGCCAGCTTTGCTGTCTAGACTAAATGTAATGTGGTGGTGTGTCACACAGCAAACAGCCTTTTTTTCTTCAAACTGGTAGGTGAAAGTTTGATTATACATACATTTACTTAGTCCTACACCCATTTTTAAGAGAACTGTTTAATCTGTAAGCAAATTTTCACAGAAATTAAGTCCTTTCTTTGGGAAAATTCTTGGCTGAAGCAATATATTGTCCCTCAACAATTTTAATTAATTAGGAACAAGCTATGCTACAATCAACATACCAACATAGTGACTCTCACTCTTGTTGCTTTGTAAATGCACATCACAAAATAGTCCAACTGCAGAGTAGCAGACAATAGCTTCAGTATTTTGTATTAATCAATTTAAAAGTTTCTGTAATGTCACTTGTACCATTTGTACTTTGCGTTGGGAATAATTTAATTTCCTAGCATATTAGTTTGGTTTAGAAATAGCTTGGTAAAATTTTTTAAATAACATATTTAAAACTGGTTTTGGTTTTTTTACATAAATGTACTGGATTCATTAAGACAAAGTCTAAAGTAATATAGAATGAATTTAAGCAAATTGACTAGAATCAGTATTTATCTGAAAAATCTCAGAGAAGAAATTCTGATATATTTGAAACAGCTACTTAGAAGGAACAATCAATATGTTCAGTGATATTCTTTAAGTGAGAATAGCTGTCTGATGAAAGTATGAAAATCAAATACAGGATAAAGACAAAATAGAGGTAATTACTTTGGTGATATAATTACCATCATTATGGGTAAAAGCAAATTAACCACACATACAGCAATTTTTCATGTTAAGTTTCTCATTTCAGTTTACAAGCAGGTTTTATTTTACTTTCCCCCACACCTTCTGGGAGCAGCTGCAGTTAGTGCCTGCCTGTTCAGGTACAATACTTCTTCCAAAACTTGGAAAGAGCAACAAAACCCACACATATCTTGTGTATCAAGACATATTTAAGGCTGCCTATGAGACTGCACGCTTTCCACCTTACCTTGTCCTAATCTGGTATTGAATGGCATCACAGCAGTACTGAGCAGGAGCTAAAGGAGGTTTGGGTCTGTACAACCATCCCCCAGCTCTTCCCAAGGAGCTCATACAACCCAATCTGCTTTTCACAGCCTTAAGATTCTCCTTCTAGTCCAAGAACTGAAATTATCACAGTGACACCATGAAGCCATCTTCACTACTACACATCTTTCTCTTTTGTTGTAAATAGAATATTTCACCCAGATGAATTCAGGGGTTTATGCTACTGAGCCAAAATTCCTCTTCCTCCTCATTCGTTTGCTTCTAGATACCATCAGGAAGGAAACTTCAGGAAGTCTCACATCAACTTCCATCCTAAAAGACTTAAACGTTCACTGAATGGGCTGTGTTTAGAGAAAGGTAAGTTCTGTAATTCAAATTTTCTAGTTCTGGTGGATACTTAGAAGGAGGTATCTCGTGCATCTGCTCACACACATCACAGCCTGAATCCAAATTCCTCCCTCACTCAAGAAAAAGGCTGTGATATTTTTATGACAGTTTGAACCAATCCAACAGGCATTGCTTCTCTGCAAAGAGCCTTATTTACTATAGCTTGTTCTTAAAGTATTGCTCTCTTGTCTTGCCTCCACCCCTCCTGTTTAAGGTAGACTTCCCTTTAGCGCCTTCCATTATCTGTACACCTTACAGTCACCCCTGTCAGAGACAGTCATCCCATACTAGTGGCAGCAAATTATCACAATTTTTTTAAGCTCATCTCTCTGTGATGTGGCATGGACACTGCTCAAGCCAATATAATAAGTGCTGAAGCAGAAAAAAGTAAGGCAATACAAGCAAACCATGTATACTTTTTCCACATCCTAATGGTGTCCATAAAAAAGTCTGAAATCATGCTGAGAGTAGAAAAAAAATCTGTATGATAATTCTGTAACCGGAAAGCTGAGCTGCAGGTGCAGAAAGCCATCCATCCATTCAAGCATGCTTTACACCTCATGTGAAGTGGTAAATTTGTGTGATTTTTATGTAAACTTTTAGTTTTAGGTACCCTTTCTTCCAGCTAAATCACACACCATTGGCCGCAAGTTAGTTGCTTACATGAAGTTATCTAGTGCCATTTAATACACAGTATCTCACCTGGCGTCTACATTCAGCTCCAGAAGAACACGTGCCATCTGCATAGGGTTATGAGGTGTAAAACCTGATCTATTGTATCTGTCGCTCTCTCTGGGTGCCTCAAGCAACCTAAGGCTTCTGAAATAAATAGCACTGGTTATCTACAGTCTGGTAACCAAATTCAGCCCTTGTTACTTATTTTGTCACAGGTAACCAAATCAGCTGCTTCACTGCATCTAATGCACTTTAAAACCACCAAAGATATTTTGGTTGCCACTCCAGAAGACAGTAAGTCTTTCATTAGTCCTGTGTCACTTCTGCTATCCCCCTGCAGGTATGCCACTATAATGGGATAGGTACTTACACACTCAGGCTTAATAGCCCATGCTATTTTGTAAGACAGAGGAACCATTAGGTGTTCAGATTCTCTCTTCTAAGCTGTTCATGAGAAGCACTGTTTCCTCACAAAAGGTTTGCATGCCCAGACAGACATGTGAGCTACAAGAAGGTGAGCAGGGCCTGAAATTTTGATGCACATTTTTCTGAAGTGATTTGCAAAAACTCAGGAATGAACTAACCACGTTTGCGATTAATGTCACACACTGGTAGCAGTAAGAGGTTAAGCCACTCTCATAAAGTGTGTGAAGGGGTCTTGAATATTAAAGGAACTTCTCTGGAAAGCAATTGTATTGCTTGTCCTAAATGGGTCTCTGGATAAATAATTCCTACAGAGGATTCCATCTAGACAAAAGAAACAAGCTCTGTAGAAAGGATTCTCCACAGCTATTATGCCATCCTGCAATTAAATATGTTTACAATATGTCTTGTACTCAGATCTTCTAATAAGCTCCATACTGCATCAATGTGATTTGAATCTGGGACTCTCCAGTCTTCCTCCTGCATCTCTGTTCCCAGAAAATCACAACCACCTTCTCTGCTCAAATCTCTCCTCAGAAATAAAGAACATAAAGGCCTCACTAAGCCTGTGCATTATGTTTCAATGCTGCTTTTTTTCCTCCAGTTTAGCCTTGTCCTACCAAGACTGTCAATAAAACATGCATCCAAAATAGGCAGCTTGCATCTCTCCACATAGCAAATTCATAACAGCAGAACTAGTGACATCTCATTGCACAATGACAAAGATCACATAGGCGAGAGAAGAAGACAGAGATATCATTGAAAATATCATACATGACTGCTGAGGGGGGGCAGTGTCTACATCTAGATTTCAGAATAGAAATGGGAATATGGGGGGAGAGGAAAGTAAATAAAGACACTGGCTATCGTTCAGGTGATAGAACACCAATGGAATAAAGAATGAAAAGCGTTCTGTGATGACTATTATTGCAAATAATAAGATTCACACTAAGCATAATGACAGCAGAGGTGAGTGGGCCATTTTGAAAAATCACATTCTTGAGAATGTGATATATGTACAAATAGTTATAGGGCTGTGGTATTAATTACTGGCAAGAAGAACAGTAGAAAATGGAGTCTAGAAATAACACCATCTTTTTCTAACTACACTCTAAATCTCTACATAAATGTGTTACACAGCACTCATAGAATCATCATAGAATAGTTAGGGTTGGAAAGGAGATCATCTAGTTCCAAACCCCCTGCCATGGGCAGGGACACCTCCCACTAAACCATTTCACTCAAGGCTTCATCCAACCTGGCCTTGAACACCTACAGGGATGGAGCATTCACAACTTCCCTGGGCAACCCATTCCAGTGCCTCACAACCCTCACAGTAAAGAACTTCTTCCTTATATCCAATATAAACTTCTCCTGTTTAAGTTTGAACCCATTACCCCTTGTCCTATCACTACAGTCCCTAATGAAGAGTCCTTCCCCAGCATCCTTATAGGCCCCCTTCAGATACTGGAAGGCTGCTATGAGGTCTCCATGCAGCCTTCTCTTCTCCAGGCTGAACAGCCCCAACTTTCTCAGCCTGTCTTCATACGGGAGGTGCTCCAGTCCCCTGATCATCCTCATGGCCCTCCTCTGGACTTGTTCTAACAGTTCCATGCCCTTTTTATGCTGAGGACACCAGAACCGCACACAATACTCCAGGTGAGGTCTCACAAGAGCAGAGTAGAGGCGCCGGATCACCTCCTTCAACCTGCTGGTCATGTTCCTTTTGATGCAGCCCAGGATACGGTTGGCTTTCTGGGCTGCGAGCGCACACTGAAGCCGGCTCATGTTCATCTTCTCACCGACCAACACCCCCAAGTCCTTCTCTGCAGGGCTGCTCTGAATCTCTTCTCTGCCCAACCTGTAGCTGTGCCTGGGATTGCTCTGACCCCAGTGTAGGACCTTGCACTTGGCATGGTTAAGCTTCACGAGGTTGGCATCAGCCCACCTCACAAGCGTGTCAAGGTCCCTCTGGATGGCATTCCTTCCCTCCAGCGTATCAACCGAACCACACAGCTTGGTGTCATCGGCAAACTTGCTGAGGGCGCACTCAATCCCACTGTCCATGTCACCGACAATGACGTTGAACAAGACAGGTCCCAACACCAATCCCTGAGTGACACCACTCGTTACTGGTCTCCAGCCGGACATTGAGCCCTTGACCACAGCTCTTTGCATGCAGCCATCCAGCCAGTTCCTTATCCACCGAGTGGTCCATCCATCAAATTGATGTCTCTCCAATTTAGAGACAAGGATGTCGTGTGGAACAGTGTTGAATGCTTTGCAGAAGTCCAGGTAGATGACGTCAACTGCTCTACCCCTGTCTATCAGTTCCATAGCCCCATCATAGAAGGCCACCAAATTGGTCAGGCAGGATTTCCCCTTAGTGAAGCCATGCTAGCTATCACCAACCATCTCATTGTTTTTCATGTGCCTTAAGTATGCCTTCCAGGAGAATCTGCTCCAAGATTTTGCAGGCACAGAGGTGAGACTGACTGGTCTGTAGTTCCCATTCATATGATTATAGAATGGTTTGGGTTGGAAGGGATCTTGAAGATCCCAACTCTTTGAGTGTTAATTCCTTATCTACCAAGTTGTCTATCAATCAAATCCATTCAATTTAGAGACAAGGATTTCATGTGTTCACAACAGACTTCACGGGTCTTCACAGACTAGCAAATTTGCACCTTGGAATGGAAATAACTCAGTTCCTACTGTGTAATGCTAATGTGGGAAAATTAGGCTCACCTACTTAACAGTGGTACTTTCTTCTAGCTAATAGGATAAAACAGTTTCAGAGGCCAATAACACATGGTGAGTTTCCATCATGTATTTATCAGCAAATGAAATAATGAAGGGGCTAATTACCTGTTGTAGTAGCACAGTAATATGAGGTTCTGGTAAACTATCATATTTGTTGCTGTGAAGATTCTGCAATTAAGCCTTATTTTATTTTCTCAAACGATTGCAATGGCTAATGAGAGAGCTGGAAAAAAACACCAAAAGGATTCTACTATCTCCATAAAAAGGCCACTTTATTTACCCATGCCAAAACAAGACTTCTCTCTAATTTTGTTTTGTTTGGGGGTTTTGCTATTTTGCCTTATCTAAAATATAACACAAAATAGTTCATCTCTGTACCAAAAGAGACTACATGACTATTTAACAGTTTACCATAGTTATGGGATCTTGCTGTTTCTTTGGCATGGCTCTTCCCTGTCCCACCCCACCCTCCTACCCCTGCCAACACCATCTCTCTTGGTACACTTGGATGAAGCTTTCTGGGATAGGACCATTGGGGGAATTTCCTTCTGTTTATAGGACACATAGCACAGAGGAAGTCTTGGTCCAGGAATAGGTTTCTGCAAACTGAGATCTACAAGAAAAAAAATACACACAAGACCCTACTGTGCTAAACTCAAAATACGATACAATATTAGTCCAAGAATATATTAAACAAATAAGACAGATGCAAAATACACATCACAGTAGCTCTATAGTTGAGCCAAATGACAGTTTCATTTTAGATTTAAGTTCTAAGTAAGCAACTTGAGTCAAAGAGGGGATGAGCAAATCTGGGAAAAGAGGGATGTAGTGGTTTCTCAGTTCTCCTTGGTAATAAAATGTTAAGAACTGACCAAACAATATAGGCCATATCCATGTGTGTGATACCCATCTAGTCAAGACAAATTCTGTCTTTGTGCATCTCTCACATTTTATTATTTGACTACTCCATGCAAACATGGGCAGTAGCTTTCAACCTCATCCTTGGTGGTACCTGTAAAATACATGCCCCGCACAATAGAACAGACTCTCCATAATTTACATACAATAACATGTGCATCAGAAGGCAAACGATCCCCACAACTTCACGAAGACTCCCCTAGAAAAAGATTTAGAAACTGCAAAACACATTCACAAAGGATTAAGACTTTTCTTTTGCCCAGATACAGATGTAGTTGAAGTACCATTCTCTGCAACACCACACACTAACTCAGAAGGAATCACAACTAGGTAAAGCTTCTGAAACTTTTGCTAACAACTTTTGCTTCCTGTTGATAAACTGTACACAGACATGGCCACCTACAAATAGTTATCACAGAATCACAAAATCGCCAGGGTTGAAAGGGGCTTCCGGAGATCACCTAGTCCAACCCCCTGCCTAGGCAGGGTCACCTAGAACTAGGTTACACAGGAACGTGTCCAGGTGGGTTTTGAATTTTCCAGAGAGGGAGACTCCACACCAGCCTGGGCAGCCTGTTCCAGGGCTCTGCCGCCCTAAATGCAACAAAGTTCTTCCTCATGTTGAGGTGAAACTTCTTGTGTTTCAGTTTATGGCCATTGCTTCTCATCTTGTCTCTGGGCACCACTGAAAAGAGTCTGGCATCATCCTCCTGGCACCACCTTTGAGATATTTGTACACATTAATGAGATCCCCTCTCAGTCTTCTCTTCTGCAGACTAAACAGGCCCAGCTCTCGCAATCTCTCCTCATAAGACAAATGCTCCAGACCCCAAATCATCTTCGTGGCCCTCTCCTGGACCCTCTCGGGTAGTTCCTTTTTTTTCTTGAACTGAGGAGCCCAGCACTGGACGCAGTACTCCAGATGTAGCCTCACCAGGGTTGACCAGAGGGGGTGGATCACCTCCCACAACCTGCTGGCCACGCTCCTCCTGATGCACCCCAGGATACTATTGGCCCTCCTGGCCATAAGGGCACACTGCTAGCTCATAGTCAACTTAGCATCTCCCAGTGCTCCCAGGTCCTCCTCAGCTGAACTGCTCTCCAGTAAGTCAGCCCCCAACCTTACTAGTACTTGGCCCAGGTGCAGTACCCTACACTCACCCTTATTGAACCTCAGAAGGTTTCTCTGTGACCAATTCTCCAGCCTATCAAGGTCCTGTTGAATGGCTGCAAAGCCTTCAGGTGCATCAGCCACTGCCCCCAGCTTCACACCTAGCATTAAGCAATCTAAGCTCTCAGCTATCCAGATCATGAAATTTTAAATTGATACATAAATTTGTTGTCATTTTGTCAAAAGTGATAGTTGCTAAATCTAAAATTATGGTTTTTTTTAAAAAAAAAACTAATTTATGAATGAAATTAGTTGTAATGGTAAAAGAAATTAACTTAATGAATTCATTTAGTTCAGCCCAATAGAGCCAATAAATGCTACCAGTCTCCTAGAGTTATGTCCATTCATAAAGCAATGAGACATAAAGCAATGTCATTCAAACTTTGTAGGTGCTTAAGAGTAGGAAAAAATTACATTTGGGTTATGCAAGCTGAATAAAGCATGCTCATACTTTGGAAAGTCACAAGATAATGATTTTTATTTTATTGATGTGTGGAAAGCTTTGGGGGGGGTTGCTGTTTAGCTTTCTGAGGACAGAAAAGCAGGTTGCTGTGCATCATCTTTGGTACATAGATCTGATCTGGACCTCCCTGGAAAACTGTAACAGAATGTGCAATGACAGCTCTTCCCTTTTGTTGCTGAAACCAAAATGTCTGTATCAGTGTTACCCTAGGACCTCTCTGAAAGAGACTGACACTAAGCATT